AATGGTCTGGTTTCATAGGTGTACATTTGAAGAGAAACGGTCAGGTCAAGGATTGGCACGGCGCGCTAATGAATGATGTGCTATACAGAACGCCAAGAATTTTCACCATTGCCCACGACAGTTATAGGTGAGAGATAGGGGGGAGGAAGTAAGAGGTGATGGAAGGCGACTGAATATGCGAGCTAAGGAAACGTTTCCACCTAGTATCCGTGAAGCCAATTTCCATGCATAGTCCTCCGCTAGCCTTCAATTCTTGGGTTGTACCCAAGCATCGCAGGAGTTTCTCTGTGACCAGGTCAGGGGCCGCACCTGATCCTGTGACTCCAAGCGATAACGTGACTGCGTATCTTCATAAACCCCTGCTTCGTGGGGGAGACCGATAACCGTGTGAAAACCCATTCCAAAAGTGCTGAACCGTTACATAGCAGACCGAAACGCCGGGAACATTCTGAAGCCGTGAGGTGACTGGACCGTCAGAAAGTCGGGAGCTTAAGCCATCTCAAAGTCGCCAAAGGTGTTCTCGCCGGAGTAGGTGATGTAAAGGAATCTGGACACAATAGATTAGCAACAAAGAGCTGATTCAAGGGCAGTCGAACGCTCGGAAAACATACCCGTCCTCGTCCTTGTGCTCCTCGTAGATGCTGCTCATCAGAGCGGCGGTAGGCGGCAGCACCTCATCGACGAAGATGAAGATGGCCTTCTCCGGGGAGAGCTTGATGCGCTTGCGGATGACGTAGACGAACTGACCAACCGTCAGGTCGGCAGGGACGAGGTACTTCTTCTTATCAATAGTAGCGATATCAGACTTCTCGACCTTCTCGCAGATAACCTGTGTTGTGAGGACCTTGTCAGTTTTCGGACTTCTTAAGGTAGATAGGCAGATCGGCGGTGACGGTCGGGGAACGTGGGGCACCCGACAACAACGCGCGAAGCTGACGAATGCAGTCACGGCGAAACGACGGAGCTCTCTCTGCGTACAGAAACTACAAAGGAATAACCGCGAGATGAGGCCGAAGAAAAGGAGAGTTACGACGTACGGGAATACGGTCAGAATACTTCTGGCGGATGCGCTCGGCCTCAGCCTTACGCTTCTCAAAGGGGTGCTCGTCCTTGAACTTGGATCGCATGATGGCGGGTATGTGGTGGGTGAAGTGAAGTGGGTTGTGGGTTTGCAGATGGGCTGGTCGTGGGGAGTTGGGAGACGGTCAAGATATAGATGGCTCGATGTTTGTCGACTGGTGGTGCCTGAAGCGTCGGAGTATGTAGAAGGGAGAGTTGAGGTAACGAGGGGCCGTTTGCGAAAGGCAAAAGAAGGATGGACGGTCGGTTGCCGCCTGCTTTGGGGTGCCTTGGGGTCAGACACGGGGACGGGAATGGGCGGTCACTGACTGAGGTGGAAGTGTCTGGGTGGCTCAGGCGGCTGGTTGGTAAAGCAAAGCACCCAGAAAGGCAGGAACCTAAGACCAGGTAAGGTACCTTTCTGCTGTGCAATGGCTGGTGAGTTACTTCCATTGATGGCCGCGGAATGACTAAGCCGGCGAGAGAGGTGCTCAACCCCACGCCCCCCTTCCCCTCCTTATCCTCATCCTCATTGCATCAGCTCCCTCCCTCCCACTCCAGGTCCTCCCGTCCTTATCCTTATCGGATTATCGGAGCGGGGCAAGACACCGATGCCATCCCAGCAATCAGCGGCGCAGTGAGACCAGCGCAGGTGCTCCGGGTGCTGGGGGCAAAGAAACCAAAGGCAGGCAGCTGACCGTCCACGCAGCCACTTGACACAGCCTGGCAGCCTGTCACGCCTTCTGGATCCGATTTGAGTCACAGGAGAAGGTCCTGGCACACAGTTCCATTCTATTGAAGTACGAATACCTTGCCTTAGTTGCTTAGGTCTAGAGTAGGGGCCTAACTGCGGCTGGGTCCCTTTTCAGACGGGACTGAAAGCGCTGAAAGCTCTCACGGGATCACCGTAGTCGCAACCTCCTGATACGTGCACGCAAGCCGGCCTTGTCTGTGCATGCAAAGCTGTTTGTTGTCTTCAAAGCCGCTTGAAGTGCATTGTCACGGAGAGTCTTGGATGGAGGAGTTTGTAACAATGCCTTATCAAGCTACCTATCCTCGTCTTGACATCATTTGTCCCCAGTAAGAGGTGAGAGGGAAGCAGTTTGCGAAAGCCCACTCACAATGGGACTTTGAGCGGCCACGAGAACAGTTGACCCTTCAGGTTCCAGGTTGACAGAAAGACTGTCAGTCTGTCACTGGACTTCAACCCACACGGCCCAAGTGCTCTTATCTGCCGATCAAGCGACCCCACTCTGGACCTCCGATAACCGACCTCAGGGACTCTGGAGCTATTGGAAGCGAATGCAAGCGCCTGCCTTTCCCGATATTACTGGAAGCTATTATCCTTGTCCTATGCACTTGAAGACCCAAGTAGCCAAGTAAAGGGCCACGGAAAGGATGATGAGATGATTCTGGCAGAGACATTCGTTTTAGGACTTTGATTGATTCTGTGAGAGGAAAAGGTGATTTCGGGAGTCCATCACGGGCACCCAAAGATGCGTTTCCGCCTACAGAAGAGCGAACGCGAGCTATCAGGGGCATAGAAGAGCTCTGCGTTTACTGGCCCAAAAGATCAGAAAGCCAAGCTGATGGGCGGACGGAGGTCATCGCTGCCTAGGTCTATGACAGCTACAAATAAGCATGCAGCAATACATGGGGAATTCCTCACCGCGCGTTGGTCCGTTGAAGCGTGTCCGGCGTTCGGCGGTAGATGCACGATTCTCGGACTCACTGGTCCTCACCCCACCTCTCCAGCGGCCCAAAGCCGGCAGAGAGCCCGGTCCAGGCTGTGGATGCCACTGGATGGACAGCTTGTTGCAGTGCTGGTCCGTTAGGTTGGCGCAGAGCGACAGGGGTCCCGCACCTATCCAACGTGGAACGATTTCGGAATTTACTTTTACAGCTGGCCTGACTGGCTCAATCCTCGAACGACGTTCCAGTCAGTCCATGATTGCAACCCAGTGGTCTTATGCTTCTCACTTGAGAACGAATCATCCGATTTTCCCTCCCTGTAACAACCCAAGTCACTCTTTTCTTCGTTATTCGTTCCCGTTATAGAGTTTGTATTTATATTCCATTTGCCCATCATGGCCTCTACAAAGCAAACACAGAGGTTGCTTGCACAATTCAACAGTTCCCGCACTAGAATCGCCATCACCACCAAGCAGCAACAGCTTCAATTCGCTCGCAGACTCGTCTCATCCTCTTCAAAGTCCCAGTTCAAGGGTCAACAGTCCGGCGCCGCTTATAGCCGCTTCCTCATTGGCGCAATTGGTCTCGCTGCTGCAGCTCCCATCGCCTACAAGATGGTACTGCAGCTTATGCCCTTTCATCACCACGAAACCCAACCCTCCCAATGCCGGAGCTCCCGCCTTTCCCATTGATGCATCAAAGCTCGCCCGTCGCTAACATGACTGTCCGATCCAGGCCGTCCAAGAATCCTTCCAACTCGATCCGCCGACCCTGGCCGAGCGCGATGCCCTGACCAAGCGGGAGTCCGAAGTTACCGTCGACTCGCCCATGCGCCTGCGCATGGAAAAGTTCATCAAGGAACAGCAACAGATCATCGTCAAGGAGCTCGAAAAGGTCGACGGCACCAAGTTCCGCAAGGACGAATGGAGCCGCAAAGAGGGCGGCGGCGGCATCACCTGCGTGCTCCAGGACGGCAACGTCTTTGAAAAGGGCGGCGTCGGCGTGTCCGTCGTCTATGGCACCCTCCCCAAGCCCGCCATCGCCAAGATGCGCGTAAACCACAAGAACCTCGACGACAACGTCGAATCCCTCCCCTTCTTCGCCGCCGGTCTTAGCATGGTCCTGCACCCCAAGAACCCCATGGCCCCGACGGTCCACCTCAACTACCGCTACTTTGAGACGTCGAACCCCGACGGCACCTCGCAGGCCTGGTGGTTCGGCGGCGGCAGCGACCTGACTCCGTCGTACCTCTTTGACGAGGACGCTGTGCACTTCCACAAGACGCTCAAGGAGACGTGCGACTCGCACGACAAGAGCTACTACCCGCGCTTCAAGAAGTGGTGCGACGAGTACTTTTACAACAAGCACCGCGGCGAGTGCCGCGGCGTCGGTGGCATCTTCTTTGACGATCTCGACGAGACCGAGAAGGACCGCGAGAACACCTTTGCTTTCATCCAGGACTGCCTCAAGTCTTTCCTGCCCGGCTACCTCCCCGTCCTCGAGAAGAGAAAGGATATGCCTTTCAACGAGGCCGAGAAGGACTGGCAGCAGATCCGCAGAGGCAAGTACGTCGAGTTCAACCTGGTCCACGACCGCGGTACTGCCTTTGGCCTCAACACCCCCGGCTCGAGAGTCGAGAGTATCCTCATGAGCTTGCCCCTGACGGCCAGCTGGAAGTACATGCACGAGCCCGAACCCAAGAGCCGCGAGCAACGCCTCGTGGATGTTCTCAGAGCGCCCAAGGAGTGGGTCTAGAGGAAGAGCCGAGGAAACGGAGGGGGCAGGAAGAGGAAACCTGGATACGGAGCACCGGATGCGAGCGATCTTTGCTGTAGGATTATGCCATATTTTGCGGCGGGACATACTGTGATTATTAGACAAAAGCTGTAAGGCGGCAAAACTCAAATGAGACTTTTTCTCCTGCTCACCACCTTTCGTCCATACAGCTTGCGCAGTAAGGATGTGCTCGCTACTGGGTCATCCAGCTTCAGGCTGAAACGTGACTTAGAATACCCTCATTTGTGATAAGGCTGGAAAATGCAGACTGAGCACGAGGTTATACAAACCGGAGCCAGGTCCGGTGAGTGTCTGCGTTGAAACTGATGAGCCTAATGCCTACACAACAGGCACCACACGCAAAACCTCAATCAGGAACAAGCAACTTTCATCTCTCAACACTCGTAACTAATCACTCAACGCAACCAAACGTCCCTCATAGCCTAGAAGCGAGGCAGGCAGACAAGCTTGCCATGGCACACTCGCCGGCATCAACGCAATCAGACACTCTGCCTACGCCCCGAATCCTCATCACAAACCTCATCAACTCCCTCACCTCGGCACCCTTACCACCGCCAGCGAATGCCGGCACCAACAGCAACGGTGCCAGCATCACCGCAGGCGACGCACCAAACCCCCTCAAAACCCTCCCGCAATCCCACCGCCCGCTCCTGGTAACCCTCCACGTCCTCTTCCCCTCCCTCGTCCTCCCGGCCCTAGACCTCCTAGACCGGAACCTCGTCACGCGCGTGGTTCCGGAAACCTCAACTACCACCACCGCCGCATCCGCCGGCCACGGCCAAGGTCACGGCAGCCGGGAAGGGAACCCCACCAACCCCGCACCCGCCCGCCAACATCAACCCAGCAATGCCGCATCCGACACCAATCGCGAAGCGGTCGCCGATGGACAGGGGTCTTCACCACCACCTCGCCTTCACCCTGAACCCGCAGCAGCAAAGCAACCTCAAGCAACCGCCGCATTCCACCTCGTCCGCTCCGTAGCCTCAACAATGACCCGCAGACACCACGCCGTCGCGACCTCGGCCTCGGCGTCGACCACGTACCTCGTCCAGCTCGACGCCTGGAACTGCTCCTGCGCCAGCTTTGCGTACGAGGCGTTTCCGGCAGTTGGCGGTGGTGCTGGTGCAGAGCATGGAGGAGGAGGGGGAGGAGGAGCAGAATCGGACCTGGTCATCATGGCCGTAGATGAAGCCGACGACTCCAACTCCGATGACGACGATGGTAGTAACCCGGCTTGTGAGGTGAGTGACTGGCAGTTTGGAGGCCTGAGTTTAGACGGTGTGGGTGATGGCGGGGTACCCTGCTGCAAACACCTGCTCGCCTGTCTCCTCTCCGAGCAATGGGGGGATACGTTGGGGAAATATGTCACTGAGAGGAGAGTGAGTAGGGAGGAGATGGCGGGGTTAGTTGCGGATGTGTAGTCACTCGACAGTTGTAGCACTTCGATGAAAGGTAACACGGGGGTTTCAGAGCCAGAGCATCAGTCAAAACATGCTATCATTGTACAAGGCACACTCTTTTCTTGTGAATTTGCCTGTTTCCCCCCCGGCCTTTGCCCCCCAGGACGCCGAGATATTATGACATGCTCCCGCCCCAATGTCTATCGCGGGTATCAGTTCCCGTGTTTTGAATGCGTGTGGTTTCTCCGTCCACTGCGTGATCGCGCAGTCGTCTATTTCTTCTCCTTCGCCTCCTTCTCCTTGTCAGAGGCCTCCTTGCTCTCGCCGTTCGCCTTATCGTCCTTCTTTCCGTCCTTGCCGTTCGCCTCTTCCTCCTTCTTCGCCTCCTTCTCTTCCGCCTGCTGTCGGTTCTGGATCTTGTTCTCAATGAGGTCGTGGAAGGCAGTGATTGCGCGGATCAAACTGCTGAGGTAGATGGCCATGAGCTGGTCGTTGGTCTTGATGCTCATGGCGTGGGAGAGCTCGCCGCCGCTCGACTTGCCATCGCCCTTTGGCGTGGACAAGTTGGGAAGGAGGTTGAAGACATCCTGCAGGTTGCCCAGGATGGCGTGGTTGACGGGCAGCTGGCCGTCGAGAACTTTCTGTAGGTAGGCACCGATATCGCGGAGGCGAAGATGCAGCCCCTGGAGGGACTGGAGTTGGTTTGTTATTCTCGTCGAGAGGGTTCCGACTGCGACATCGCGAATGTCACGAAGGAGGTGCTCGACACCAATCTCCTCTGCTTCCTCGGCCTCGATGATCGACGGGGTGTGGACGAAGGTTCTTGACGTGGTAGTGCCGTCCTATAATCGTCTTTGTTAGCAGTGGCTTCGCATGGCGAGATGTAACGCTACTCACATCCTTGATCTCCTCGACGGCAAAGTATGCGTCCGTCGGCACGCCCGCCTCCTTCGGCTGGACGTCAATAATGACTAGGAGAGGGTTGGGGGTGTAGCGCTTGAACAGCTCGTTGATCTCGAGATCGGACGCTCGCAGCTTGGGACCGGAGTGGTACCAGCCGATCAGCTTTTCTCTCGCGTTGACCTTCTTGAACATATCGTTCATTCCCTCGACGTAGTTGTGGTCCAGGAACCACACTGAGGGGTCCTTCTCATCTTCCTCAAACGGCACTGCAAGGATGGGTTAGTCTCGCGGGCATGGCCTAAGTGTATAGCATCCGCCAGAGTAGCCCTTACCTGCGAAACTGTTCGATACGCGGACATTGTTGCCGTCATTTGAGCCCAGCAGAACACCCACCACTCTCCGTTTCGATCCCTTGGCTACCGCGCGATTGTAGTGGTCGACGACGGAAAGAAGCACAAGAGGGGCAACGGAGACATTCCGCTGAACGAGAGACAGAGTCTCCGCGGTGGTGGCAGGCATGATAGAGGAGATTTCGTAGCTTCGTTAGGTCGATTGGTTCGGGTTCGTGGGAAGATGGAGGTTTGGTCGGTCGGTAGTGATTTTGGGTTGAGGTGGGTGTAGTAGAGGCAGGGTATGTGATGGTGGTGGTGTCGTAACTGCTAAGGCTGCCTTCCCGCCCAGCTAAGCTACGAATTGGGCCTAGGTGCAAGCAATTGGAAGCTCGAGCCTCGCCAGATCACGTGGGGAAGCTCAGTCTGAGTAAGCAAGAGCTTAGCCACACACCTCTTGAGCCGCAAACAGCGATCAGCCACAGCCCGAGCCGTGCGACAGTGCCAGGGAATGGAAGCGCACGACCGATGTTTATTCATTGGACAAGATTTCTAAGAGAGGCCCCAGGTCGAGTCCGCAATCGGCCTTCGAGATTCTCTTCATTTCGTGCTCAGTGAGTCGCTGACTGAGGAATTGGACGACGGACTTATTTCCGTCAGGAACAACCAACCTCAAAATGACAAGTAACAGTTGGACACGAAGTCAAGTGAGGCGCTCGGAGAATTGCGGGTGACTAGGATGACCCCAAGAGACTCCCATGCCGCATCGAAATAGCACCAAAAGCACCAAAAAAACACTTGGAAAACAAAGAATCTTGACCCAGTGACCTCATACATGGCGTCCCATCCGGTGCGCCGGGGGGCATTCTCGAGGGCTTCTGATGCCGTGCCTTATCCGCAAGCTACCTAGCCGGGCCGTCAACAGTGAGCAGGCCCCAATGGCTCGCGGTACTATCCCCCGATGTAGACGGTACGTATCCGCGCTGGACCTCGGCGGAGAGGCAACGACGAGGACGAGCCAATGGCAGCCGGAGCGCTGTAACGGAAGCGCACGCAGTGGCACCAAGGCGGAAATATGGAGGGCGCTGTTACGCTGCGAAACAGCCGAACGAACGTCTGCCACCCTGTTCCCCAGCAGAAAGTCCAGCGGTCCCTCGGGGCACCAGTCTGACCAATAACCGGCCTTTATTCCTGTACTGGGGCCGCTCGGTGGCCTGTCACCTGCACTCAACGGGGCCGTGGAAAGCGCAAAGCTCGGTACGATGTAGGCGGTACCTGGACGACTTGGCCTGTCAGGACCTTGCAGCGATTTCTCAACCTCTCTCGCAATCATTTTTCCCGCAAAAGCTTTAGTTCGCACTGCTCCCCCCAGTCCAACCTTCGACCTCGACTCCATCGTCCTCTCCTCTCCTCTCTTCCTCCTTTCTCCCTCGTAGCCACACTCGTGCATCTCTTTGCTCCTCCTTCCTCCTATCGTTAGCCTCGGTCCGGCCATATCAATACCTTTACCAACCGTCGAAATGAGCAGTCTCGTTGAGGAAGCAGTCAAGAAGCTGACCAACACGGTCGAGACCCTCGAGTCCAGAATCAAGTCTCTGGAGGACCGCGCAGCTGGCGGTTCCGGCAAGCTCACCACCGATGAGGTCCGCATGATCCTCATCGGTCCCCCCGGTGCTGGTATGTAGCTCCAATTGGGCATTTTCGCACGTGCTATTTGTGTCGCGGCAGTCGTACTGATGATGATGTTCCGCACAGGCAAGGGCACTCAAGCTCCCAAGATCAAGGAGAAGTTCAACTGCTGTCACTTGGTAAGTCAATTGACATCGTCTATACTTGCTGCTACGCTCTAGATCGTTTCTAATCGTCCTTTACACTCGCAGGCCACTGGCGACATGCTGCGATCCCAGGTCGCCAAGAAGACTCCGCTCGGCCGGGAAGCTAAGAAGATCATGGACCAGGGCGGCCTGGTCAGCGATGACATTGTCATTGGCATGATCAAGGAGGAGCTCGACAACAACAAGGAGTGCAAGGGAGGGTATGGCGCATCTTTCTTCTGCCAGAGAGCCGGCTGGACGGCCTGAAGGTCAACTGGCATCTACCACTCAGCATTGCTAACTGGAACGACGTAGCTTCATCCTTGACGGTTTCCCTCGTACCGTCCCCCAGGCCGAGGGTCTCGACGCCATGCTCAAGGCCCGCAACCAGACACTCCAGCATGCCGTTGAGCTCCAGATCGACGACTCATTGCTCGTCGCCCGCATCACTGGCCGCCTCGTCCACCCCGCCAGCGGCCGCAGCTACCACAGCACCTTCAACCCTCCCAAGGAGTACATGAAGGACGACATCACCGGCGAGCCCCTCATCCAGCGCAGCGACGACAACGCCGATGCCCTGAAGAAGCGCCTTGCCACTTACCACGCCCAGACCGCCCCCGTCGTCGGTTACTACAAGGCGAACGGTATCTGGAAGGGCCTCGACGCTTCGCAGCAGCCTGGCCAGGTGTGGAAGAACATGCTTGAGATCTTTGACGAGCAGCGCAAGGGTGGCCACGCCTCCGGCATCCTGAGCCGCATCACCGGAAAGAACTAAGCGGGCATGGGCTTCCTAGCCTTTGCTCCCGCCAGCGCGCCGGCCCGTCCACACCCCCCCGGCGGCTGCGTACAACAAGACGGCCAGAGAGAAGCGGAGACAAAGGTCTACTTTCACGTCTCTTACTCTGGCCCTCTATCATCTGGGTCAACGATATGAACAGAAGAGAGGAGGGCGTGGATCGGAGGAACTTTTTATGGGACTTTTTATGGATCATGAAATGGACTGGAAAGGATTACATCCTCGTCCGCCCCCGAAGCTGTTGAGATCAGCAGGACTGGGCTGGTTTATGTCTTTTTTTTTTTTGCGTCAACGTGGCCAGGATCAGTTGTACCGTGTAGAAAACCCCTTCCGTCGCACGCTTGTATGTAAAAACAACAATTTTATTGTCTCACTAATAACCAAAACCAGCGGTTTGCAGTTGGATGGCCTCGCAATCCTTTTTTCCATGGTCCCTGTTGCTCCATGTGCTTTCTGTGCCTGTGCTCGAAATGCTCAACCCTGCAAAAGGTGCCTACTATACAGAGTAGATGCCGTGATGTCATTGCTTCAACGTGTCTGAATCGCGACGCAGACAGACAGGCGGCTGGAGACGCGTACCTGGGAAAGAGAACACGACACGCTGGCCGGATTCGGGCTTCGTCGGTGCTTCTCACAGAGGCGAAAAAAGAGTGGGAACCACGGACGGACCCCGATGCCGACCCGGAGCGTAAAGCAGAAACCGGGGGAGGGCGCTGACAGTCGTTGTCAGCGACTGACATCCGATGAACCCGACGCCGTACTTTCAAGTCGGAGCAGCGAAGTACCGATAGCGGTACAATCATGGGGGTCTGAGTTTCACAAGTTCTGAATAGGGCGTTCATGGAAGTTGCCGACGTCGATACCCGATTCACTTACTAACTCTTGAAATGTCTTGTTATGCAGATCCGGAATCTTCGGGTGGTGAATGCTCCGCTGGCGAGCCGGTCCACGAAGCAGCCAACAGAACGGAGTCTGCGACGATATTGAACGCGAGGTCGACATGTCATATTTGCCAAATGTACATAGTCACAGAAAATCATGCACCGAGATCATGGCCCCGGAGAAGAAAAAATGTTGATAAAGAATCGATTCTATCCCAAGTCACTCCAAAAGTCTGCGCCCCCCCCCCCAAAAAAAAAAAACGGGAAGACGACAGACAGGGCTTGCAAACCTCCCGCTCGCTAGGAAGAAGCTATACATAAAAGATGAAGAAGTATGATAAGGCTGCAGGGAGAAAAAGGACTTGATAAAGGTTTAGATGGAGGAAGAAGAAGAGGAAGAAACCTCGTGGGAAAGGAGACAAGAATACCGCCCAGCCACCTGCGCAGTGCAATGCAATGGTACCCGAGATGCAGGCCAGCCAAGCCATCCTCTTTAATTCGCTAAGACCAGAATGGAGGAAGAGAGAAAAAAGAAAGGGCACGTGAAGACCAACGCCGAGATGTTCTCCTACTCCGGCGCAAGACGAGGGTAAGGTTGAGGTAAGGTTAGGTTGCTAGTGGGGTGTGATGTGAACCTAGAAATATAAACGGAAGAGAAGCCAAGTCATCATATTGTGCGCAGAACGATGCGAGGCCTTTTATTCTGGAAGCTTGAGGTTGCCTCATCTCCTAGGAGTGGCTAGGGGTACAGATAGTCAGTCTTGAAATCCTCAAGTCCCAGCCTCGAAAAGAAGACTTACCATTGACCATCTGTCTTTGCTTGCCCAGCCAGCTCTTGGGAGCCTCATTCCGCCTTTGCAAGACGACGTGATTGCTCTGAATACGGCTAGTAAGATCGTACCATGCCGTCGCAATGAGTGCATTCTCGCGCTGGAGGTTCTTGATAATCTGATCACTCGCAGCCTGTTGACGCCATATTTGTCAGCCGACATGATTCTCCTTCATCATCATGATCAAGACAAGACCACGATGTTCAAGCCCAACGGAGTGTAATTAGGACCGGTGCAGCAGGATAGTAACGTACTTTCTGAGCCGCGGCAGCTTCTCCGCCTTCAGCCGCCTTAAGCTTGCGCTGCAAGTCATATTTATCTTGCTCGGACTTCTCCAGTTGCTGAAAAGATAAAAACCGTCAGCCATCAATTCCTCATCTCATGAACGCCAGAAAACAAGGCCATCAAGTCGGCTACTTTGATCGCCTGAAGACCTTCTTCCACCAGCTCACTCTCGGTCTAAGGATCAAGGGCGTGGTTGGTGTTTGGGGAAGCAAGTCAAGATGGGGTTGGCATGTAGGGACTAAAACCCGAGCATTCGGGCGGCTATCATATAACACAGCTCGGGACGGAGTACCGGGAATCTTGGGCGCACCGGCTTCGGCATTTCGATGTTGTAGGGCTAGGGCGTTCGCAAGAGATCTGAGGGAACTCACCGATTGGCGCTCCTTGAGTCTGACGCGCAGTTTGTCAACCTTCTCCTGAAGCTTCTGAGCGGCCTCAGTGGGCTCAGCACCCGTGCCATCCTTGGCCTCGTCAAGGTCCTTTCGAAGCTTGTCTTTCTCAAGCAGGGCGTTGATAAGCGAGCTGCGCTGTTCTTCGAGGTCAGTACCGAGGTTTTTGAGCTGTTGGCGTGCTGCCTCGAGTTCTTCGTGGATTGAACCGGATATGAGTTGGTCAGTAGACTTGAGTTCCTCGAGAGCATCAACGCTATCCTTTGCCACGGCTGAGAGATCGGTCCTTGCGCTGAGGAGTTCGCGATCCTTGTCAGAGAGCTGAGCTTGGATCTCGCTGTTCTTCCTCCTCTCGCTATCAAGTTCATGGGCCTTTTGAGCAAGTTGGATCCTCAGGTTGGCTAGCACCTCGCTGTGATGAAAGTCTTGGGTTAGCACTTTACCCACGCCTAGTCGCATAGCTGTATCAACGATTTCAACTAACTTTTCGCCACTGCTCTCGATCAGAGCGCTGATTTGGGCCTCCGCAATCTGGTGCTTTTCGAACGTATCGTTGTAAGTTCCCTGAATACGTTCGCGTTGCCTACGCTCCTCCTCGAGCTCTTGACGCAATCGGGCGTTTTCTGGCCCAGATCCCATACCGCTACGAAGCAGGTTGTTCTCTGCCTTGAGGCGAGAAACCTCGAGACCAAGATTAGGGGGCGCGGCGCTGCTGACACCCTCAAGCTCCTGCTCGAGACTGAAGCCCGCAGTGCCAGCGTCGGGAGACAAAGCACCCGGGGATCCCGAGTTGATCTGCTCCTGCAACTCGGAGATTAGGTGCTCATCAGAGAGACGCTGAGCATCGAGCGTTGCAAGACGAGCTCTCAACTGCATAGTGTCATCGTGAAGAGCCCTGCGCTGAGCATCCAACTCAACATACTGCAGCTCGTAATCTCTGAGCTTCGAGGCGTACTGCTCGTTGGTCTGCTCCAAGGCCTGATTTCTCTTCAGAACCTTTTCGTACTCAATGAGATCGCGCTGCATCTGCTCCTTCTCGTAGAGCAAGTTATCCATCTCTTTTGACAACGTGGACTGTGCCTCAAGCTTTTGCTTGTACCGTTCAACCATGTTGGCTTTACGGGACAGTTCCTCATTCTTGAACCGCAACTCCTTGACCTCATCGTCAAGGGTCTCAAGTTTCTGCGTCTTGGCCTTGAGTGCTGAGACTTCGCTCGTCAACCGCTCCTTGGCGATGCGATCCTCTTCAGCCTGCGCTTCCTGGTTGGCAATGAGCTCGTCCTGCTCGCGCAACTTCAGTTCAAGCGACCTGATGACCTCCTTGCCAGCACCGTCTTGGGCATCGTGGAACGCCTCTAGCTCCCTGCCCTTGCGAACAACCTCCTCTTTCAAATCGTCGTAACTTTCCTGCAGGTGGCCCAAGCGCGTTTCCATATCCGCGAGCAGCTTTCCCTTCTTATCTAGGTCAGAGCGGAGGCGTATGTTGTCGGCTTCCATTGCGAGATCGACATCGTGGCTTTCGTTCCCAAGCTCGGAGGTTTCTTCTACGTCCGCCGCCTCGGCATCGTTGATGGCTGTACTCATGTCCTGCGTGACCCGCTGAAGCTGCATGAGGACCGTTTTGTCGGAGATATCCTGGGTGATACGGGTAACCCATCGCTCGTTGTTGCTACCAAGCATTGCAACAGCAAACAGCACGGCAATAAGCTGAGTAGAGCATCGCGTTAGCTTGGACTTTCGTTCCCGGCCCCGGAATTTGGGCCGCTGCGCTGGACACGGATGGTTGCGTACCTTACTGATAGCCTCCGGCTGCGCTTCTCTCGCCCTAGGTCTGATATCGGCAAGCTTGGTCTGTCCAATGAGCCCCGGGCACTCGCGATACACTAGCCTCTGGATGCCCTTGTAGACATCGTATAGCTCGCCCTCGGTGGTGTTGGAATCGAAGGAGGGGTCGAGTGCTTGAAGGACCTTGGACAGGAGGTGACCGTCCAGGAAGTCTGATATTGAGTCGGCCTGTCTATCCAGGGGAAATGTGTTTGCCTGTGCAGGAAGCATTAAGTCAGCATAATGTCGGAACTGCGTAGCGGTCTGTGACAACACTGGGGAAAGGGAAGTGACCCATCGGCGGGACACAAGGGGGAAGATGTATCTGGAGGGGAGCGCAAAGCACGGCGACTTACCCATTGCACCAGCGCGGCCTGCGCGCTTCCTGAGTACGGCATGATGCCCGTTCTTTCGTGTCGTAACCGTCGTCTTCTTCGTGGTCGTGGTCGTAGTCGTCTTTCGTCGTAGTTTCGTAGATGTTTCTAGGCTAGTGAGGTATCTCTAGGTAAAGTACCTTATGGTTTGGAGCTGGAGCACGTGGGAAAAGGCGAAAGGGCTCCCGCGCGGTTCCACAACGTTTTGCGGTCGTGTTCGTGCTTGTTGCAAGTCAAAGCGGGCAGGGGAAATGTGGTTCCATGGGCCCGGGAAGCTCTCATCGCAAAGGGGGCTTTTCGGCTAGGGGTGGAGGGACTGGGAGCGGTTGACGGGATATTAAAGGTTCAGGTCGGAGTTGGTGAGAAATAGCCCCGTCGGCCGAGGGAAGGGCGGTGTAAAGGGAAATATGAGGGAGAACGAGAACAGAGCCTTGTTTACGCACAGTCGTATGAGACAAGGGCAGCAGCAGCAGCAAAATTAAAAAAGAGGGATGTGTCTCTTGTTCACGGGTGCTTGTCGTCCCAAAAAGCCAAAAAAGACAGGCGCATTGTTCACGTCCGGCGTCCGCTCCCTCCTGTCGAACCCACACTCACTCAACCTTGCATGACCTGACCTGCATCAAGCTCCTCCCTTATCGATTGTCAAAGGCAGCTAGGCCCTAGGGAACTCTTAGCGCGTGTTGCGCAACTACCGCCATCCATCCGTCAGCTTATTATCAGAAGACAGAGGTACCTGAGCTTGCCTAGAGGTATCAGTCCCATTCTGAGCCGGCACATTGTTGACAAACGCACAGCGAAAAGATACAATCCTCCTGTCCGTTTCTATTAAGGTACCTCCCGCCCCCAAGCCCGAAACTCCAAGTGACGCGAAGCGGGACGGACTGCCAGGGGTTGACCCGATGTTACAGTGGGGCAGTCCCTATGCCTTCGATTCTTCGAGTCTTTGACACTGGACTCTTCAAGGCTTGGTGACAGCACCGTTTTTCTTTGGCGGCAAGGCGGGAGGGAGCATGGCTACGAAGCCACATTCTTTCTTTCTTTTTGCTTTCAGGAACCGATTCCTGTGATGAAAGGCTCCTTGAGACCAAGTCCAATGTCACAAAGCCAGGTTGAAGAACAATGACATTATGCCCGTGGTCACCGAGAACCTCGGATTGTCGTTCAAAATGAACATCAGTTGAAAAGCGCTTTTCCATCAAACACCACCGAACACTGTTCAAACTGCACTATTTTTGTAGTCGTAAGCACAGACTCCAAGTCATCTTCCCGGATGGTCCTAGGTCGTTACTCGACCACCAACCAACCACCCTCCTGATGTCGATTGCCCCTTCACAGTCGGGAGAGCCTGCGGTATGGATACGGATACCGAAATCTCGGACGATGTTGCCATCCCGTCGATATGGTATGGACTTCTCCACGAAAGCTTGAGGAGGTTGGTCGTCCATCGTAGTGTTGCAACCGATTCGCCTTGGACCCTTCTCCACGATTCCGTGCCGAACCAAAGAGCACTATTACGCCGTATATACCCAAGGTATGCAGGCACTCACGCTGAAGGATTCTCTCTTCGGGTCTCTCGTCCGTCAGTGACAGACTGCCTGCCTGCACCATCTTCAGCGCCTGATGGCTTTCCCAAAGTCTCCCCCCCCTCCCCACATTGCGCTTTGACGCGTCTGTGAGTGTGAGATTGCCAGGTGCTTTTTCTGCCCAACCCAATTGGAGCATTACGCGAGGTATCAGAAACACCGGGCTTTCATCCTGTGAGGGGACCGCCGACTCATCGTACAATAGGAGGTGCGCTGTAGCATGCTGCGTCACTGCAATCAAGCACCTGCAGCATATAATAATTAGACGAGGCCTCGAGATATCAAGTAATCCTGTGCCTCTCAGCGACACATTATTGTATCCCTGGCTCAAAAAAGCTGAATCAGCATCCTTGGCCGGCAGTGGAGAAGCTAGAAGACGCAGAAATCCGCTTTTGATCTGCACATCTGCTTTCCGTGCCGCACATGAATCCCCCCCACTCATCAGGTACATCGCCTTGGGGATTGGTCCTCGAAGGACTAAAGGGTTCACGCAAGGCTTAGATCTCTCGTCGACGTTGTTTTGTAAATGTCAGCCGCATCGGGAACCTACCTTACATCACTATGGAACGCCACAACGTCATTGCTGTGCGAAGTAAAGCTGCCGTCAGTTGAGAAGGATTCCCGTAAACGTGGCAGGGCAGTCGAGGTAAACACTAGAGTCATGAATAGGCAGGTATGCTGTGATTTTGAATTTTGGTCTTGTTTTGAGGCGGTGAGCAGGATTGAACCAGGTGCGGTCCAAGCCTCGCCGTAGCCGTACATAAAAAGATGCCCCTGAGGCACTTTCTCATCGATGAAACTCCCGACTCCGTAGTGATAATTCGTCTATGACGGCAATGGTAAATTATGAGTGCCTCCTCGCTTGTCCCTGTCGCAGCCGCCGGGAAAGGCGGCGGATATCATTGTCCTCGTGACCTAGTCCAGCCAAAGTCCCTTTTTCGCACATTGTTGTATCTTTCACCAGATGCATGCTTCGCAAATTGTCTGTCGTCAGTCGTGCCGACCGATGAACGACTTGGTTCGATAATGAGGCGTCCATCTATACGGAGTTGGTGACAGTGTGGTCCTCCTCGATCGTGAGGCTTTCGCTGAAGGCTTGAACGGATTCGAGGACCTTGGCGGGTGTGACGGCGGCAAATCCCCTGATAGTTGTTAGCTGCGATTCGGGATCCTCAAAACGATGCAAAAAGAATGTCTCACCTAATCAGAGAGTAGGTGTGGGTGATCTGGCCGCCGGCATCGATGATGGATTGCTTCGCCTTCTGAATGATATCGTCGCCGACGGAATCGGAATTGGCCCAGACGATGACGGACTTCATCTGGTCGACGGCAAGAACACCGGGGACGACAGCCAGAGCGGCGACGAGGAAAGTGGAGGGCCTCATGGTTGCGGAGTGTGATAGAGGTCGTTGGAAAGGGGGAGAGCGAATTTCTTTGCGGTCGCGGATGATGATGCGGGTCAGTACTGAGAGTCTGCTTTATGGCGATCGATTCAAGTCGAAAATGAGTGCAGTGGCGGAGTTGCGAGGTAGGTAGTGTGATTGACGAGTGCGCCCAAGGGTCTTGTGGGGAGTTTGCGGTTATTTAATCGTTGCTGGCGAGTCACTGGAGAAAGTTGCTGGAGACTCGCGGGTTGGTGAAGAACGGGTGGATGCAGGGAGGAAGTTCAGCAAGTTGGACGTGGACGGACAGCGGACTGGGCCTTGATGGATATCGAATGGATGTTTAGGTTGGGTTCCCCTTTGTCATGGCAGGGTGACTGACCAGTGACCACTTATTACACAGTAATGGATGGGGACACAACGCGGAAGGTACCTGTGATGGGCAATCACCAGCCGAACCTTAGTTGACCACCTGCCCAGTAGGGAGCGCCGTCACCCGCGGTGGTCCCCCTCAAAAGTAGTGGAGGTGTTCCGTTGGCAAAGAGTTCCCAAAAGAGACCTGTTTGTCACTCTTTGCGTCCAGTTTGCCAGGTTCCAGCCAGTAACATACGTCAGTTCTCTGCGTCTAGAATGGTGAGGGAACCGGCAATGATGGGACAACCTGGTGGCGCTAGCAAGCGGTATGCACATGTGCAACCTATTTTTTTTCTTCGCCAGCACGCCAGCATTTGACTCTCAAGTCCCCATAGGTACCTAACAGAAACTATCCGTACGTTCGGAGTACAGTCTGCAGCAAATCAACTGTATGGAGTGGCAAGGGCCTTGGCAGCGGCTTCAAACTGGTGACATGCAACAAAAGTCCCACTTTGCTGTTTCCTCCACCTCCGGTCAACCGTCACGGGTGCTCCCCATCGTCCCCGTCAGTACTCGGCCTTCCCTGTGAGGAAGGTTACCAGCGGGACTATGGCGACATCAACCAATCTCGGGCCCCGATACTCCGTACATATTCAACCTCACCGGTGCCAACGTGCCACTTTGTAGCAATGTATTTGATTATGTAGAACTTCCAGGTGTAACCACCGCCTTCGATGGCGCTATCAACCGCTTGGTGCACCCGCAGCTCCCGCTGCAGATTCGGGACAATTTAGCGATCGGTGACATCGATGCAGATTGTGGGCAAGCCTGTCTACCGTCTCCCGTCACCAGCCGGCTTATATGCATGACTTCATCCGGCTCCTCCGACGATGGAACTCGAGGATTTAGCTTGATCTTCAGCTTATGATTCTTTGAATGTGTAGACCATGTGAACATCGTTGGTCGCCTTGCAAAAGCCTGAACAGGAACGTTGAGCTGACTTAAAGATGCTGTTAAATACTATGAGCATCCAGTGCCAATCTATTAACCTGACGTTGGTGGGGTGCTAGCCCCCAATGCATGTGATCCTCAACGCCGATTCATAACCACCAAACAACGAAACTCCGGTCCCCAAACATGCAAAGAAACAATGCTGGTGTAATACAGAGGCCCCGGGTGATGCGTCAGGTAAAGTAGAAAGGACAAACAAAAACACATGTTGGTCACCGAGTTGCTTCTACCCCTTCGCACTGCCCACCGCGCTGTCATTCTCGCCCCAGATATCCTTAGTCTCCTGCTCGACAGCCCGCATTGCAACAGCAACGTGTTCAAGTTTGGCAACGACGTCAAGCACGCCTTTGTTGACCCGTTGGAAGTACCGATCGTTGGCCTCGCGCCTCTTTCGTGCGAGCAAAATGTCCACCTCCGTCTCCTGCTCGAGCTTCGCACCGAGTCGCTCCGTGCCCCCGCTGCTACCTGGTCGCCCGTTGTTGCTTCCCGTGCTCCGCGGTCCCTCGTTGCCATCTGGCGCTACGCCCGTCTCCCCGAGCACTGCGCTCTTGAGGTTGCGGACCTCCTCCCCGGCCGCTGACGTGTTGGAGCGCTGGCCCGTCATCTCGATGGCCTCATCGGCCTCACTCCGTGCCCACGCCTGTGCCAGGTCGATCTGTGCTGTCCTCAACTCCTCCAGCTTGCGATCGTGATCGGGACCAAACACATGAGTTCCACCTGACGCTGAGAGCTCGACCTCCTCGAGCGTCGCCTGCATCTCGGCCCATAACGCTTCGGTCCTGTCGCTGCTGCGAGTACTATCGGCGGTCTTACGATTCCGGACAGGGCGCGCGACGGATGGCGCGACTACCGAGCCGGTATGAAGAGATCCATTGCGTTGTAGGTTCATGGCCTGTTGAGGGAGAGGTGTGACGCCAGCGGACGAGGTCGCTGGCGCTCCAGGCGCAAGTATACCCGGTAATGAGGCATGAGAGGCGGCTGGAGACGGATGAAGGAATAGGGACGGCGGAGGGTCGCGCTGTTTTCCTTTGCTCTTGGCTGATTGAGACATGCCTGCATTTTGTGTGTCGTCGTGAACATTCCAAGCTCGGGACTTGGCGTCTGAGACAGCTTCTCTTGAACTGGACGGCATCTGATAGGATTGGTTGGATATTAGTCGAGGGAAGTTGCGGACCTTGGGGGGGCCACCCCTGGCTAAGACGGTACGGTCAGCGAGCGTGGGGTTCAAGCTCCGTGCGGGCCAAAGTGGTTGAAGGCGAAACCCGGCCGTGGTTGGGTGAACCTGCCCCACTTTTTGACTTTCAGACCCGGCCTTCTTTCGGCTCCTCAAGCAAAGGGGGAAAAACGCACGAGCCAGTATCACGTGATGTCGAATCACGCTCCTCCCACCGAAGGGCACAAACCCTCTGTGTGCCGAAAAAGCTGTCGTCGGACAAATCTGAGGATACCACTTTTCGCGAAGAAGCAGTCAGGCACTATCACCACCACCAAGTCAATTCCCGCGATACCCCCCAACACATCGGTACGTTTGCGCTATCCCATCCAGAATCTCCAACCCATCGACGACGAATTCTCCGAGAAATTTTTCAACAATCTCGACGACGAAAAAACCCGAACGCCACCATACACAAAATACCCCTCTTGGAACTTTTTTGAACTGACGATAGTCTCAACCAGCCAACATGCCTCGTGGACTCAATGCGGCGCGCAAGCTGCGCATGAACCGTAAGGACCAGAAGTGGGCCGATCTCGGATACAAGAAGCGTGCCCTCGGTACCGCTTTCAAGTCCTCCCCCTTCGGTGGTTCCTCCCACGCCAAGGGCATCGTCCTCGAGAAGGTCGGTGTCGAGGCCAAGCAGCCCAACTCCGCTATCCGAAAGTGCGTTCGTGTTCAGTTGATCAAGAACGGCAAGAAGGTCACTGCTTTCGGTACGATACCACCCCCTCCCGAATATCACCCATACGAATTCTCGACGAAGAAACAAGAGAATGGAAATACCAGTCTAGAACAGGCCATGAAGCGAAGGAATCGAAGTGCTAACAAGGATGCTTTTTAGTCCCCAACGACGGTTGCTTGAACTTCGTCGACGAGAACGACGAGGTCCTCCTGGCCGGTTTCGGTCGCAAGGGCAAGGCCAAGGGTGATATCCCCGGTGTCCGTTTCAAGGTCGTCAAGGTCTCTGGTGTCGGTCTGCTTGCTCTGTGGAAGGAGAAGAAGGAGAAGCCCAGATCCTAAACGGGTAGGCTTTTTCGAATCGCGCGAAGCATGGGAAGGACAGTGGAAGAAAATTCGGCACTCGGAGTTTTACGCTTGCATTGGCATCAATGGGTTATGGTCCTGATACTGCGGGTAGACTTTGGTCGATGAAATAAAACATCATGAAAGTCAAAACCTGAACATGCGGCTATTCACATCACACATTACACAAAACGGGGTTTATCGGGGGTGGGTGTGAAAGAACAAAATCAAGAATCAGGGAAATGTTGATTCTACGTGCTATGAAATTTACAGATGATGTTGGTACAATTTTTCTCTCCTGGCATCTATACGCCCTTGATACACCCTTTTTGAAGTTTACTTCAACTGCTTCTGACTGGCAGCATCCTCGTTTCCATCTTGGACATATCTTACAGTGTAATCGGCCGCGAGACCCAAGCTGATGACGCCACCAGTAATCCAGCAACCATTAATGAACCACCACCAGCAGTCCTTGACGCTCTTCAAGTTGACCCGCTTGATCATGACACCGAGTGTCACCGCCGCTCCACCGACGCTACCGATGAAGAAAGCCGGGCCCGCACCAGCTGCGAACCCAGCAGCGCCCAAAAGACTCAGCTGAACTGCGGCCAGACCCGTCAAGACCTGCTTAGTCTCGGCATCGTGCTTGAGAGCGATGCTCTTGATGCCCGCCTTGACGTCATCCTTGATGTCCATGTGGGCGTAGATCATGTCGTACAGAATCGTCCAGGCGACGTTTGACGTGTACAGGAGCCCCGCAGCTGTCAACGCCGCGCTGTTGGACAGCAAGTCGATTCCGAGAGCTGGGAAGCCCATCATCGCGCCCCAGGAGAAGGTGAGACCCAGTACGGCCTGAGGGTAGTAGGTGACCCGCTTCGCCAGGGGGTAGGAGGCCACGAAGAGCAGACTCGGAATGCCGTAGAAGAGGCAGGACGTGGGGAACTGGACCAAGATACCCAGGCCGGCCAGGAGCTGGGCGCCGGTGAAGGCGAGACCCTTGAAAGGAGTGATGGCACCTCGCGCGATGGGTCGAAATTTTGTTCTCGTGACGTGCGGATCGAGGTTACGATCCCACAGATCGTTGATGCTGCAGCCGGCACCTCGCATGATGAGAGCTCCCGAGAAGAACAGAAGCGAGGTCCCTATGACAGAGGCTGGAGATGCCATGGGCATAGCCATAGGCGCGGCCATCAGAGTTGAGAATAGACAGGGGAAGAAGAGGTAGTAAGTGCCTGCCGGCTTATCGATGCGGGTAAGCTCCGCGTATGGGACCCATGATGCGGGTAAGTAAGAAATGATGCCGGTCTTGGGTGGCGAGTAAACGGCTTCAGGTGATGCTGGCTCGGGAGTGTCTGGAGCGATAGCTGTTGTGAGGCGTTTCGTTGAAGTGTGGAGAGCTGTGTACTGGTGTTGAGCTGAGCTCCGAAGAACGAGATGGGTGCTAGGCTTGCGGTGTGCCTGTAAACCCAATCGAGACGGTGCTGTCGCTGAGAGAAATCTCGTCGTTCCAGACGAGGGGTTGCATGCCGCCCTCAAGGGGCCTCTTAGCAAGTTGACTTGTCTCATTTCGAGTCACTGTCACGATGTTAGTATAAGTGACATATTGACGAATTGAGAGCATGTATAGAAATCAATAAGTTGGTCGCAGGAACACAAGAGAGAAAGTACAAAAGTAATTTGACTTTCAAAAATTGAAATTGGCAATATGAAGAACATTGAGATGTTGAGCCTTGTATCCGTATGAAATGTGAAGCTCTTCGGCTGTGGTGTGCAAGGGTGCCAGCTCTCTCAACTTTGCTCACCAAGAGTACAGATACCTAGACACACTGCATCGACAGGCGCAAGCTTCAAGAAGGCAAGACGAGCCAGTGGAACGAGACTAGCCAATATTTCCACTAAAGAATAACAAAAAGAATCTCAAGACTTACCGACAACCGATACGGAGCTCTACCAAAAGTCAGATATGCCCCTAGTCAACTTTTTCCACCCGTCACCGAGAGAACCAAAATTTGGGAGTTGCCAAAGGGTCCAGAGCTTAAGTGTGGTCCGTGCTCTTTGATCCCTGGGGGCCAAGGTGCCGGTAGATTCGCAGACCTTGATTGGTTGCGCATTTGACTTTCGTTCCTTCCCATCGCCTATGAACCTTGAATTGGTCAGCCTCGCCCGACGCCACTTTCCTTTGTACGCGATACGCCTTGCAACCCCTGGATCGCATCGCCGTTTGTCGCGTAGATCACAAGTTGACATCTTCGACCGTCGTTCTTCTGATTTCACCGGCTCGACGCGCCGAAAATCGTCTCGATCGTGCCCAAGACTACTCCTACCTCGCGTATCCCACCTGACGCATCAAAGATCGCATTTTCATGGGATTCCCCCGCCCGAATGTATAGGTAGTCAACACCGGCCGTCAAGATGCCGCCACCATCGCATCCCCAGGCCAAGTTCGACCCGATTCCCCCGAACTTGGACCTTTTTACTCTGGTCGACCATACCCCGAATTTCGAATGGGTCCTCCGAATCTCGACCGCTCAGATCCAAGGACTGGGCCCCCAGGAATTTGAGAAGTTGGTCCAACTGCAAGTCATTCAAGGCGGGAAGCCCTTGGTGATTGAGAAATGGAACGAGGTTCTCCCTGAGTGGCTTTTCAGCGGAGAGTGGATGGAGAAGACATACGACAAGAAACGTGAGTGTATTCACCTTCCGCCCAATTATGGCAGTTGCTGACTTTGAGATAGAGGAAAATGTTCGTGACATTACCGGTCAGACCGAGATCCCGATGACCACAGGGCACTATATGAGAGCCATGAAGCAACTCACCAACCAATGGACACCGAGCAATTATCGAGACGAGAGACGGCAACGGCTTTACCTGAAAGATATCGACTGCCCGCCCGAATGGCAAGAACACCTGCAGAAGGTCATTCCTCCCAATCTGTTTTACATGAACGAAAACGTCACGCACAAAGGAGTAGCAGAACCTCGATCAAACGATCCCTTCCGAGGCTTTGGCGATAGAACAAAGGTGGCAGCCGCCGGGGATCTCATGTCAAGCCTGCCCGAGGAGATGCGAGCACAGAATCTCATGTGCTACATCGGACACGAAGGAACATTTACCCCGGCGCATCGTGAAATGTGCGCCAGTCTCGGACAGAACATCATGGTCGAGGCTTCGGGCAGTGAGAACGGAGAGAAACCTGGAAGCTCCATCTGGTTTATGACGGAAACCAAGGATCGAGAAGTCGTCCGCGAGTACTTCCTGTCTATGCTCGGCCATGACATCGAAATCGAGAAGCATTTTGCCCAGATCAATGCCTGGAAAAAGGCAACCTTTCCCGTTTACATCGTCGAGCAGAAGCCGGGCGATTTTATCCTCATTCCCCCTCTGGCCCCCCACCAGGTCTGGAATAGGGGTACGCGCACCATGAAGGTCGCCTGGAACCGTACGACTGTCGAGACCTTGGACATGGCACTTCACGAGGCCCTTCCCAAAGCTCGTCTTGTCTGTCGTGACGAGCAGTACAAAAACAAAGCCATCATTTATTATACGCTCAAAAAATACTTCGCGCAGATGGTAAATGCCGAGCAGGACAACGAGATGGGCATTGCCGGTTTAAGCTCAGAGATTTTCCGGTCTTCCTCACGGTATAAGCAGCTTGCCAAAGATTTCCGCCATCTATTCTCACTTTACACTGAGGTTCTCGTCGACGAAATGTTTGCGACCAAGGAGAAAAACGTCGAATATGTCGAGTATGACTCTTGCGTCACCTGCTCGTATTGCAGATCGAACATTTTCAACAGGTTTCTGACCTGCAAGCACTGTGTGCGGACCCTGGTCAACGGGGACGAGGATGCATACGATGTTTGTATGGAATGTTACGCCATGGGACGATCCTGTGTCTGCATCTCCAAACTTCAGTGGTGCGAGCAATGGTCGTGGGAACAACTGACGGAGAACTATGAACTCTGGCGGGCAATGGTGATCAAGAATGACGGCTTCGTCGATATAGAGCTATCACCTCAGCCTCTTGAAATCGCTCGCACCCGGCGAGGCAAGAAGGCACTAGCCGAAATATGTCAAATGGGCTTGCACAGGCGACCTTTTAAAGATATCTCGAGGCTTGACGAGGATAAGCCACTCACCGAGTCTGAACCAGAGCCAGAGCTGGACGACAATGGCAAGCCCAAAAAGAAAAAGTACAAGCGCAAGAAGAAGAAGGGGGAACTTCGTCGCTGCCACGTTTGCTGTCACAAGGACTACGCCTACAAGGTGCAAGAATGCTCAAACCCAAAGTGCAAAGAAAGCTACTGCTATGGTGTACTTTACCGCGCTTTCGATCAGATGCCGCAGACGGTACAGGAGAACGAGAATTGGCTTTGCCCAAAGTGTTTGGGTATCTGCAACTGCGGCGCTTGTCGCCGTGCCGAGATCGGTAACCCCTACACGCCAAAGAATACCCTTCTTGGTCATGATACCCGAGCTATCGCCGATGATAGAAGTGTCGAGGCTCTCGTCGACTTCCGAGTTCACAACCTGAACTGGCTCAAGACAGCTGGTGAAGAAGGCCGCAGCGCGAACAGCAAACGTATGAAGGAGCTCAGGGAGAAGGCCGACACCGCAAAGGCTCAGGAGAGTGCCTCTCTGACTGCTGAAGACATCGCTAATGGCGCTAACGGTGCTGCTACATCCGCGGAGGGTGGAATGAACGGATACGGAGACCAAAGTCATGTCCTCAGCGAGCAGGACGGACACCATGCTCAGAACCAAGGCGATCTGGACGCAAATCAAGACATGTCGCAGATGGACATTGACCCGTCTGCTCCCATGGCTAATATGAATGGGGACCCTGAATGGGACCAGTCAGCATACCCGGATCCCTTGGGCATGGATGGCCAACCCATGTTCGGCATGGGCTACTACCAGCAAAGTGGACCGGACCAGATTCTGTTCGACCCGTTCCAAATGCCTTCAAACGACGCCATGGTGTTTGATGAGGAGGCCGAGTTTGTCAAGAACATGTTGCGGGCGCAGAAGCGGAAGGCAAAACAGGAGAATGACATGGATCCAGACTTCCATGGGCCCAGGAGCCAGAACAGGAAGAAGTCAAAGAAAGACGACGGTGCTGATGAATCTGCCATGGATCCGGCATTGTTCGGTTCGGCGCAATCTGCTGCCGCGGGCCCCGCACTCGAAGCTGCTGGCGGTGAAATTGCTGAACCAGCAGGTGTGAGCGTTGGTCAGGAGGACGAAGCCTCGGCCCAGCTAGAAAGGGAGGCAGGACTGTTAGGCGGCGCGGCACGACGCGGGCTTCCAGCTCCCCAATTACCGGCAAATGTTCCTTCTTTGCGACATGCAAGGCCTAGAGCGTCTTATGCTGAGCCAGAAGAACCAATGATCGACGACCCCGACGATATGGTGCCGGCTTTCAAGCAAAGGCCGCCGGTACAAAACGATGAGCCACAGCCGGGTGATGACGGTAATGATCCTAGGGACCTGGCTTCTGACGCTGTACGCGCTCTTATTCAGAAGGGAGCTGATGCTGCGGCCGCCACCGCCGCCGCTACCGGAGCCGAAACGCCCACAGTGCCGAGGAGGAGGCCAGGCAGGCCGCCGCGGAGTGCGAACTCGACGCCGGCTTCGGCCACAAAGGCCCCCGTAGCCGATGCTGTTCCAAGGCCGTCTGATCTCGCAGCAAGGAATGCGGCGAAGAAACGCGAAGAACGAGCATCGCGACGGTCGGGCCTGAGCCGCGTTGTGACTATCGATGGAGCCAGCTCGTTCAACCCGAGAGCTAGGAATAACTCCTTCAGCGACAACGACGACGATGATGCAGATGACGAAGACGCAGCTCACGATGTAACCGAAGCTGAACTCGAGGCTCAACTTGAGCGGGAGTTGGCTGGAGAAGGTCAGTCCCAGAACGCGCCCGTCACCTCTATTGAAACCGAGACGGCGGAGGCGACTGCAGCACCGCCTAAGAGGCGCCGTGGCCGACCGCCCAAGAATAAGACTGCCGCAGTAGAGAAGGAACCCGTCGATCGATCACCGCCCCCGCCTCCTGCGGGTGCGACAAAGATGATGTCAATGGCAGCTCGTGTTGCAGCTCGCGGAGGAAAGTTTAAGATCACTTCGCGCAAATCGCGAGATGCAAGTGCGAAGCAGACTCCCACTCCAACCCAGGCGTCATCCGCGAGGCCATCCGTCAGTCGTAGCGAGCAGCCGGCCAAGATCGTACCTTCTACTGAAGAAGCAACGGAGCCAGCGAAGGAGACCACCAGAGAACCTTCGAGAGAGCCAAGCATAGATCTCACTCCTCCACCTCCTGTTGCGTCAGCTAGAGTGAGAGAGCCAAGCTCGGATCATACGCCGCCGCCCCCAGGCACCTCTGGAGACAGACAATCTAGCTCTGATCACACACCTCCGCCTCCCGGTGCTTCTAGAGACAGGCAGTCGAGCTCCGACCATACGCCTCCGCCTCCAGGTGCCGTTGGTCGACGTTGGCGCAAGTCAGACGAAGACGGATCAGACTTTGACGCTCCCGTGGCGTCGCCGTCCTCTGCATCTTCCTCTGATTCAGGCATTCCCGCCGATCGTTCTCCGCCACCGCCACCGCCGTCCGCACGCCGGGGTAGGCCTTCGGGTGGTCTGACTGTCGTGAGAATCGGATCCGAATCGGAATCGGAGAGCGAGATTTCGTCGTCTTCCGAGTCGGAGAGTGGGATCGGTGGTCCGGAGCCTAGCAGGATGAGAGGGGGTTCTACTCGGGGTAGAGGGAGAGGACGTGGACGTGGACGTGGACGTGGACGTGGAAGGGGCCGTGGTAATTGAGACCTTGTAAATTGGAATCGAAAACGGGAATCACGTTAGGCGTTTTGGGGGGAGGTCGGCTTCTGTTTTTTGGCCAGTTTCGTTGTACTATCAAATCATACCCCGGAACGTATGCTTCTCTCGTTTGAGCATCTTTCAAACGTTCTATTTAGGACCAATACCAAGGACAGTTTGCGAATCCTGACCGACATGTTAAATCTTGATGTGAATCAAATCCGGACGTGTATTCTTCATATCGCGGTTGTCAGTAACACGACTCAAGTCTCAGGGGAGGCCATCGTAGCGAAGTTTTTAGTCACGAAGGTACCTATTCATCTTCTCTCTTCTGCCGTATTACTCAAACAAGACATTTTTTGCGCCCCCATCCTGGAGGCGTGCGAGCCTCTGCTCGTTCCGCCATCTGTGACTCTGCTCGAATGCTTAAATTACCAAACCCCTCCCTCCTATTCCCTTCTCAGACCACACACGAAGTGTCGACGCCACGAATCCTCTGCTTACTCGGCAGACGCTCTGGCGAGTGCCTCGTGCAAGTGCGGCGGGAAGCGGTAACGCAGCTGCGAGGTGTACGTGGTGAGGTCGAGCGTCATCTGCTTCATCTGCTCGACCATCATGCGGCGAGTGCCCTCGTTGCCGCTGAACTGGCCGCCGGTGAGCTGGTCGCGCTGGCGCGTGCAGCAGATGATGGTCCACATGAGCAGGTTCGGCACATTGATGGAGACGGGCTGGGAGAGGCCGGAGAACTTTGCGGCGTAGGCGCGAATGATGCTCGGGTCGCCGCTGGCGTCGAGCGGGAGGATTTCGAGGCCACGAATTTTCTAGAATGCCAAAGTTAGTCATCTGTTTGCAATGGGGATGATGGGCAGTAAGTAGTGCGGGGTTGTCACTTACGTCCAGACATTGAGCCCATTGGCCGGCCTCGACGAGGGACTTGATGGTGCTCATCTCGAGCAGGACGCGGCAGGCGACTCTGTTCTGCTCCTGGATCTTGCGGTGGAACATGGCATCGCGCTCGTACATGGACATCATTGTCCGGGCGAGCTCCACGGGGTCGTCGATGGAAGCCAGGCTGAGACTGCTGCCGGTCTCGGCCTCCTGGCCGGCGGCGCGAGGTTTGACGGGCATGAGGCGCATGGGGTCCTCGCCAATCTCGAGAGAGATGGCCTCGCTGAGCGCACGGCTGACAATGGAGACGACGGTATCGTACTCGCCAGCCAGGTGGTACAGGAGGACCGAGTCGGTTGTGCGACCGTTCTCGTCGGCGAAGCTGGCAGCCTGGACGGTGACGGTGTTGATGAAGTCGTTCTCCTCCGTCAGACCGATCAGAGAACCGCGCTCCTCGATGATACCGCGTATCCGCTGACCATCAGGGCGGATGTCGCCGATGAGCTTGCTAAACTCACGCGTCTCAAGCACGAGCTCGCGCAGGGCCTCCCAGCAGAGGTTAGCATGACGACGGCCAGCCTCGCCAGACAAGTCCATGTTGAGGCAAATGAGGGTCAAATAGTCAACAGCGGACACAACGTCGGCGGCTCTGAAGTCCCTTGTGTAGTAGCCAATCATCCTGCCAAAGTTGATCTGAACAGAATCCTTGACGTTCAAGCTGCGCAGATCGTTGGAGGCGCTGAAAGGGTCGGAAGGTCGGAGAAGGCCGTAGTACTCGAGCGCAATAGCAAAGTGAACTGCGTCAACGTAGGAAAAGGGGTAAAGGTAGGCAATAGCCTCCTCGAACATGCCTGACAGCACCTGGAGGTAGAAGAACATGCCAAAGCTGCCACTATTGTCTTCGGCAGAGGTCTTGGGGAAATGCTTGGCTCCGATCTCCTTGATACTGGACTGCAGTTCGGAAAGGCCGTAAGCCTCGCTGGCCACCTCAACCGAACGGTCACCTTCTCTGGCAAGGTTGAATTGAAGCCAAATCCAGTCGTTGATGTCGGTGTTGAGGCCATCCAGACTCCGGTTGTTCAGGTCACAGCGACCGATAATCTTGTAACAGGCCATCCGGAAGGGATCGATTGAGTTGTCCGGAGCGTTGCGCACACGCTGAGTGTATTCGGCGTTACATCTATCCTGCAGCGTTCGCTTCAAGCGGCGGTCTTCGTTAGAGGCGTAGCCGTTGAGGTAGCTCTGGAACGTGCGGTCGATGCTGCGGAATTGATTGCCGTTATCATTCACATACGTAGCAGCCTCGCTGGCATGACCAGAGCGCAATAAGTAAAAGACGATGGCCCACACATATTCACCGCCAGTTTGCTGAAGGTCTGTGTTATCAGGCACCAAGTCCTTCCGTGCGGAACGTAACCGGATGTAGGCTCTGATCTTGCTGACGATATCGGGTCGACCACCTAGATTGGCTTCGTGGGGGTGTTTTGCGATGAGTGCCTCAACCTCTTGAAGGAACTGCTTCTCGAGGTATCTGTTGGCACCATCCAACAGCCTCTTTCGCATAGATATGGAGCTGGCAGAGTTGGGAGCTTCATCCAAGTACATCTTGGCGAACTGCCGCTCCTTCGCAGTCGCACCATTGATGGTGGTCTCAGCTTCGGGGTCTTCTCCAACGATCTCGCGAACAGCATGATACGCCTCGACGATGTGTGGTGCATATGGGTCCAGAGACCGGTGCTCGACATCCGCGAGCTCTGAGAGGATGGGGTAGGGATGGGCGATGAGCCGTGCCTGGTTGAGGTTGCGGACCTTCTCGGAAAGTTTGTTCTGCTTCTCCCGTAGAGATCTGTCGTCGGAATTGATGTGGCCAGTCAACGAACCGCCGTTGTCCGTGGACCGATCAACATCTGAGAACTCTGGCTGGTGGGAGCCGATCCTGCTTGCGTTGCCGATGACGGAGCGATGCATGCTCGACTTGCCCAGAACGCTTGCTCTGCCAGAGCGAGCTCCAGTTGCCTGGCTCTTGCTCCGGCGCGAACGACCAAAGCCACCAGAGGCCTCTCTCGTCGACGCGGCGGGTCCGAAAGAAGACTCTTCACGAGCCTTGATGCCAAAGTGCTCGTAGATGCGCTTGCGCTGGGCATCCCATTCCATCGTCACGTTGTCTTCCAAGAAGTTATCAAAGTCGCGGACCGATCTCTCCAAGCCATCCGCAATCATGCTCATCGTTGTCTTCGTCTGGAGGTTCGCGAGGTACGTCTCAACGTCGATTTCGGCAGGAGAGTAGCCAGAGGGTCTCTCAACACGGCCAGTCTGCAAATCGAGGGATCCGAGGTCTTTCGCGGCGGTTGAAGGGTCGACACCAGACGCAGCGAGAAGGTAGTGCGCTCTACCATCGGAAGGACGCTCCTGCGCCTTTGTTCCCAGCTTCTTCAAGCGCTGGCGAAGGTCGCCCAGGCCCAATTGCAGGCTGGGGAGGTCCTCCATGCCATTCTCGCCATCTCCTTGCTTCTTGCTTTTGGCGAAGAGGCTGTCAAAGTATGCGCCTGACGGTTGGCCCTGCTGAATCTGGGACTGGTTGTTTGTGTTCTGCTGCGGTTGCTGCGATGAAGGGAAGAGGGAGCCGCCGAGAGCGTTGTTTGTAGTGGTCTGGCCGAAGGTCGAGCCCGTCGTTTGCGTCTGGGGTTGATTTTGTTGACCACCGCCAAGAGTGCCGAAGAGAGATGGCTTCTGTGTCGTCGATGCTCCCAATCCGCCCAAGCCTCCCAAGCTGAGTCCGCCTGATTGTTGCTGCTGGCCCTGCTGCTGCTGCTGCTGTTGTTGTTGTTGTTGTTGAGGCGCACCAAATAGCGAGGATCCTTGTGCCGGTTGTGTCGTCGTCGATGCGCCGCCGCCGAATAGTCCGCCAGTCGTCGCAGGCTTGGCCTGGTTGAGGTTTCCAAAGAGGCCACCCGAAGCAGGCGTAGAGCTAGTCTGTTGAGTGTTGGTCGTGTTCTGCTGTCCAAACAGACCCCCTCCTGTGCTGCTCTGTGGCTGGGTTCCGCTGGTCGAGGCTCCCAGACCGCCCAGGGGATTGCTGCCGAAGAGTGACATATCGTGGGATTCTCGTGGTCGCGTTCAGTCGTAGGCGGGGTTGGGCGCAACGGTGAAGGGGATTTCGAATGTGTTGTCAATGGATGAACGCGCTTGAGAGCTGGCCAGGCGCGATTGGAGAATGAAATTTTGAGGTTTGGGAGAGCTCTCAGCCAGAGCTCCACTGATTGGTGGGGAGCGGCCAGGCAACGGGGACCAGGGGTTGTTCCCGGTACATATAACAGGCGCTAATCCCAACGTGATAAAAAGTACAAAATACTTGATCTCTTTCAAGGTATGGTCTGCTCACCGAGCGTCAACACCGGTGAACTTCATGTCTTCGAGACAGTGACACAAGACAACTCGCTTCCACTTTCTGGGATGTGTGGCCTGTAGCACTGCCCATTTGAGCCGAAGCTGATCGTTTCATTTGGGTTTTAAGTGGTCTTTATGACAAGAGAAGACAAGACGTAGAAAACGAGGCCCATCGCCAAAAGGACTTGGTTTTCATTCTAGACTGTACTCCCAGTATATGAAATATCCAGCCCACGATACCCATGGATCGATTGACCAAGAAATGAACGAGCCAGACAGAGTTTCTAAGCTGTTCTCGATCTAGATCAATTTCTGAACTTCCTAACCTTGTCTCCTGAATTCTGATCTCCCTGGGCAAGTGAGAGTTTCCATCTCCCAACTGCCGTTGTTCGTCACTAATCGTCAAACCACGTAGGGGCCAAATTTAAGCTCATGAATAGGAATGACTCTTACACTGAATGATTTCAACGTCATGGCAATAAAGTGAGCTCAGTACGTGAGTACGCCTGAGAATATAACTTTGATGCTCTCGAGTGGTGCAGTGGAGTATCATACTCACGTCTTATCTACTTGGCAAAATGAGATCTAAATAGTCGGAGCGTAGATTTCTCCTTTTCTACGACATTCTTGGCTGTTCTCATAAATTTGGCTCCTTCCTTACTATAAGCACAGAGTTGATGCCTCAGTCATATGTATGTCATCAAGTTCGGGTAATACGATTCGCAAATTTGCCGGAATAGTCATCAGTTGAGGGGAAAGTGTGGTCGAGAAGCTTGAGTGGCTAAGAGCTCTCATTCACGACCAGTGATAAGTTCGCTGAAGGGTACATCGGTTTTTTTTTTAGCATTGTTATGTCTAATTTTCTAATCATTGATTTATGCCACATTAGGGTACTTGGTCACCATCGCGTCGTAATCTTGCGCTTCATCCCTTCGTGAGTGACCAGTACTACAACCCGGAATACACCCCGAATCTTAGGGACATGAATGTATGTGAAGATTCAGATACTGAAGGAATTACTTCCATGTATCTGAGGCCAAACTCGTGGCCCTACGCATGAAAACTTTCCTCGTGCGAAGCCCAAGCCCACAACAGTTGTATCTGCCTAGACCTTTGATAAACTGCGATCCAGGGTTGGAACAAGGAACGTCTTCCTACCAGAAAACCGGATCAATCCTCAAACGTAGTAAGGCAACGTATATTATCTATCATACGGGGCTCAATGTAAGACGGCGGCCGACAGTGACCGGGACGCGGAAACCCACGCCGCACAGGCGCATGGTCAGCCGAGTCCATCAACCACTCACGCCGCAGACTCCAGTTATTGCTTACGGTGGGGTATGCGTGCATCCATCTCACCTCCCTCTCAATGTGGTCCGTCTTATACAGAATATTTGAACTTGATCTTCAAGCTTCAAAATTTCATCATGAGCCCTTCACCCATCTATCGGAAAAGCCCATCATTCTCAAGAACCTAATCCCTCCAGAGCGTCGTCCCCATCACCTCTTCCCAAAAATGGCCAACTCAAAACCCTCACCCTCAAAATCCTCACGACCACCCCTTCTAACAACCCTCTTCGCCCTCCTCTTCACCCTCCTCACAGCCGCAGGCGTCTACTTCATCCGCATCCAACCAGTCATCACCCCCTTCTCCCAAAACCTCACCGATCTCGTCGAAGCACAAAAACTCCAAGATGGCTCCCGCCTCTACACGACCTACACCGGTCTCAAACCCCTCGACATCGCCCTCACCTACCTCGTCGCCTCCTTCGCCCAAGGGCCCCTGGGTCTCCACGAGGCGGCGAGAATCCAGCAGATTCATTTTCTGCTAAACTTCTTCCCGGCCGTGGTGATCTGGAACGTCGAGGCCTATCGGTCCAGGAACCGATGGGGTTTCCTTAGCTTGTAAGTCCCCCTCCTCCCTCGTAACTCTCCCAATCCACCACCAGCCTCAAAGAAACAAACATAATGGGGCAACATAAAGAGTGAAATGAGAAACCACCTCAGCTGACACGACGGGACATAGCCACGCCGCCTGGGCAACCCTCTACCAAACAGTCGGCGGCGGCGTCATAATCCCCCTCTACCACCTCGTCTACACCCTCCTCACCACAAAGAAAACCTACCTCGTCTCAGGCGGCGCCGTGCCCCTCCCCCTCGCAAAGGCCCTCCTCCCATCAACCCTCCTCCTCTTCGCCCTCCCCACCGCAGCAATGTACTTCCCCTATTCCTCACCCCGCCTGTCCCAAAACCTCATCGCCTTCTGGCAGGTGTCCCCCGTCATCCTCAACGCCGGCATATGGCTCCTAGCAAGCACAATCTACAAGTCCTCCTCTTCCCAAACCCCCGAGACCAAGACCACCACCCGCCAGCGAACAACCCTCACCCTCGCCCGCCTCTACACCGCCTCCGCCCTCGTCGCCGCAACATCCCACTTCTACACCCTCTACACCCTCCTCACATCCACCAACAAATCCCTAACCCTGATTAACGTCTTCCTGCCCCTAAACGACGTCTCAAACGGCGACGTCGCCACCAGCCTCTTCCAGCTCTTCCAATGGGACTTTTGGCTCATCTTTGGCTCCTCGAGGCTGTGGTGCGCGCTCGTCGTCTACGATGTCCAGAAGCAGCTGCACGGCAGGGTCAACCTGAAAAAGTTTTTCTGGTACTACACCTTGACCAATAACTTGAGCTTGATCGTCGGACCCGGGGCCGTGTTGGCAGGTGTCTGGCGGTGGAGGGAAGAGCGGCTGGTTGAGATTGAGGCGGCGGCTGGTCGTCAGCAAAAGGAGCATTCTCTCTAGTGAGCGTAAAGTACTAGAGAGAAAGTGAGAGCATTTGAACAGAGATCTTTGGGGGTCAATACTTCACTGCCACAGAGGTCCGAAGCGAAGACAACTTCCGACATGGCCAGTGTCTTGTCACAACCATCAGGTAGCAGGGGGGAGAGAGCCACATGTAACGTCACTTCAACGGACCAAAGCTCACAGGACAAATGTACCAGTGTCGACATTATTCCCCGGCCTAGACCGACAATGTCTACCTCTATGTAAAATAGTTGGAAAAAGCACCCCTCGCTATATAATACTCGACACAACCATCTTGGTCCTCTATACCGTGTCTGCTCCCTCGGCAGAGCTACATGCATCGAGACTCCTCGCGGGACTCCAACAAATGAAGAAAAATAACAAAGTGAACTATCAAGAAAGATTTGAGGGGCAGAAAATTGCCCAGCGAGATGGATGGCTTACTGGTTCCGTGGGGAACTTCTTTCCGTACCGGCGCTGCGCAACGTCCAAGTCCTCACTTAACCCAGACCCAAGCAACGGCACGGCATTCCTTGGCCGTGCCAGTCATCTTAACCCAGCCTTAGTCGCTGTAGGCAGGGGGCGAACTCTGTTCCACATGTGTCTGTCCCCCCGCAGATATCAACTCCGTTTCTCCCCTTTGATCCGAAAAAAAGAACCGAACAAGGCCATACGTTTGACCGAATGCGTGACGTAATTGGTTTGAAGCAAGTCGAAATGATCTATAGGACCTCAACAACACGGTCCTGAACGTTCCTTACAATCTCCGGAACCTGGTCCACCTTGGCAACAGATCCAAGCATGGACCAGGCTGCGGCAAAGTAGTGAGGATAACGGCTGTATAACATGGCAGCCAAAATACATGTGAGAAGGGGAATCTGGCACAAGTCAGTTTAACGGGTCAGTTGGAACTCATGTGCGGTGGGGGCTTACCCAAATGAACCAAAGGTTCTTGTCGCTACGCATGCCCTTGAATTTGGCCTCGTGGGCCCGGAGGAAGTTTTGTTGCTGTTCCTTCGTGATGGCACTTTTCCGTCCAATTCTGAGTACGCTTGGCACTGGCGCCGTGCTCGACGATGCCTCCGTGACCTCGATTGTCTGGGTGTCGTAAATAGTTGCACACTTGATGTCAGCAGCAGCCTCAGCAGCGGCTCCAAGAGCGGCGGCTTGCTTCTTGTCGAGTTCTTCTTGCGGGAAAATTTCGTCGTAGGCCGGCGGCGGTGCCGAGTTGTTGTTGGTGTTCCTGAACGATGATAGATCCCACCATCTTCCGTCCATCGGTCTGGGTGTCTCCTCGTCTGCCGAGCCAGGCCGTGAGCCGGACATGCCGGGCATGAGCGAGGTGACCCTACCCATGAGAGGATTCTGCTGGAGGTATGCATGGTAGTCAGGGAGCATTGGCATCCTAGGCAAAGCAGGCATCTGCGGGAGATTGGGGAAGTGCATTGTCATGGCTTGCTGGAACTGCTGAATCTGAGCAGAGAACTGGTCTCTGACGGCCGAGGCGATGGCTGTTGTGGGCGACGCAAGTCCCGGTTGAATCTCGTCTTGACCCCGTTGGAGGATGCTCTGCCTGTCGGGGCGGGGGGTGAACGCATGGCTGCTGGATCGGCGGCGCATATCAAGCCAAGAGTCTTCTTCTTCCTGCTCGTCATCCTCGTAATCTCCCGACGAATACTCGGGGCTTTCTTCGCCGTCGTCTGCAGACTCCGACTCGCTAGACATGCCCAGTGGATCCCACAGCGATCTCAGGGACGCAGCACTGCTTGCTCTGCTGTGCAGTGAGCCACCGCTCCTGGAGCGGATGTGACGCTCGCAACGACGGATGTGATCGATGACCTTGCGTGAGCGAGCAACATCGGCGGGGCGAAGTCCCGAAAGACTGCGGATCGTGGGATCAGCACCCGCCTGCATCAGTCTGCGAACGATTGACTCATGGTCGTTCATTGCTGCCAGATGCATGGGAGTGAAACCACCCTTGTCCCGCAAGTCTGGGTTAGCACCGCGTGCCAACAGTCCAGCAATGAAGCGATGGTATCCCAATGCGCAGCCCATATGCAACATCGTTTGACCAGTGGACCTTCTCAAATCAAGTCTCGACATCCTCGGGTTGTCATCTAGGTCGATGAGCTCCAAGCACTTCAGAAGTTGAGATTCGGTGCTCATGTTGAAGGTACTTCCACCAAAGCCGCCGACACTGCCCGAGGGACCAGATGCGCCCCAGCTTGAGTCGCCCTGGCCGATAATGCGTTGAGCAAGCTCCTTGACGTCAACCATCTGTCCAGACATCTTGTGACCGAGAATTGAGAGAGCTGTGCGAATGAGCTTCTCTTCGTCGTCGTCAACATACTTGAACATTTGGTTCTGTTTGGACATGGCGGGGAACGGTGGTCCGGCTTGCGTTTGACTTTGCTTGAAAGTAACGAGAACAGCCCCTGAGACAGGCGAGGGAGGCAGAAGACAGACAAGGGATGATTCGCCCCAGAAAGTAGTCGTGGTGGCCTTCTGGTCGCCAAACAGCACTTCGAGACCCTGGTAGAAGCTGGCTCCGAGGATCGTAACCTCGATGCCACCAGACTTCGGACCTTCGTTGGGAATGATCTTGTGGATGGTCGGCTGTGGTCGCGCTGGAGCAACGGCGTTCGTCGGCATGTATGACATCGTGTTGAACTGGTTTTGCGACACCACGTTCACGCCGTTACGCAGTCCACTGGGGCTTGCAGCGCGGCTCTGATGTGCCGATGCGGGTGCAGAGAACATCGGCATGGCAACATTGTCCATGCTGGCTGAGCGGTTGGCATTGGTGAAAAGTGTTTGGTCGTTGCTGTTGGGCGTAGGCGGGCCAGTAGCGTATGCTTGAGGCATCGGCGGCGGAGCACCGTTCTGAACAAACACAGCTTCGGGAGGAGTCTGGAAGCTGGTCAGGTTGGGCGTGAATGGTGATGTCGATGCGGAGGCAGCCGCGGGGATTGGATTGGGCATCTGGGTTGGCGGCGGCGTTGTGTCCAGGCGCGTCATTGCCATTCCTATCGGTACTCTCGATCCTGTGCTGGCCTTGCGCTTCTTCGTCTGAGGTCCACCATGCGCGTTGGGAGACTGTGGTCGCGATAGTGAACGAGGGGTAGTGCTCGAGGCCGGAGGAGCTGGTGCTTTAGTCGTCGTATTCGCAACTGGGAATTGAGGGGCGGAATTGCGGTGCATGTTCTGTAGGTCGGAGCTCGAATGAGACAGTCGGAAAGGTGTTCCACCATTGCTGAGCGGGCTGGATTCCATCGGAGCGTTCCTCATAGGTACCAGATTGCTACTGCTGTTGTTGTCAGGGGCTTGGGCCGCAGGCGGGTTCAGCTGCTGCGGGATCGGGTGCGTCTTGTGATCGTCAGTGATCATGATGGATTGAGACATCTCCTGTGCCACGACCCGGTCTTGCCAGTCCTTAATGGTGAAGATGACCTGGAATCCCAACTTCTCAGCATGGTGCCTGCAGTAGCAAGCGATTCTCATCGGCGCATCGACTTGCATGGCACCGGGGGGCGCCACAGGTTCCGGTCGCCCTGTCACCGTAGAGTCTGACACAACGCCGTTGGGTGTCTGCCACTCCTTCACTTCTTGTGTGTTGAAGACAATCACCCGCCTGGTCTCGTCGCGATTCCACATCTCCTCTTCCTCAACCTTCTTAATCTTCTTCCTCGCGGCTCGCTTACGCTCTCGGGTGATACAGCCGGCGCAAATGCGCACTTCCCCTCCGTTTTGCGGTTTGTTCTCCTCGTCATCCTCGTCGCTAACGGATCGGGCGTTCATGACGGGGCTGTGAGTGGCGGCTGCGGCGCGCTGGAAGGCCTTGCGCTTGTTGTCCCCGTTTTGCATCGCACTAGTGCAGACAAGCATGGTGTACAGTTCCAGCATGTCGGGCGTCCGTTCGGCTGGTGGCTTGGCTAGCAGCTTTGGCTTCGAGATAGTGTGCACTGGCAGGTGTAAACGCTTGATACCAGGAGGTAGCGGGAAAAGCGTCAATTTGATGGGAATCTGCGTCTCAACGCGCGACTTGGAGGGCGTCGGGTGGATCGTCAACCGACAACCGCGGCCGAGGAAATCAAAATTCGGCTGAGTGAAAATCGGCATTTGCTGTGGCATCGGGACCGGGAGACCATCGTGTTGGTGGTATTGCGGTTGCATGGGCATATTGGCAACCATCTGGTGCGCCGCGGGATCCAGCTTGCCAGGCCAGAATCCTTGCGGGTTCATGGCACCCATGGCGGCAGCATTGAAGTCTGGTGCGCCGGGCGAGGGCGAGCTGTTGAAGAAGGCTGATGGGGATGCCTCGTGGCTGGTTATCATATTTTGTGACATTGGAGAGCATTCTCTCGAGTTGGTCATCTTCAATCCATTCATGGGCTGCGATATGGAGTATTGCTGGGTCGAGTTAGCTGGGTTCTGTCGTGTCGCGCGGCATAATTCCACTCACTGAGTTCCGCTTGCCGTGGTTTGCGTTTCTGGGATTGCCCGGAGCGATCGTCTTTGGCGGTCCATTCGTGTGGATGGTGGGCATCTCTGGCGACTCCATGCTCATGGCACCGGCTGCATTGGGACTGCTTGACGCACTCTCAAAGTCGAAGGACTCGTCCATAAATTTGTCATCGTTCAAATCCAGGCCGTCGGGCAGCGTCGCGTCGGCATTTGCGCCGAACATGAAGATACTGTCTTCTGGACGACCGACAAAGGCCGAGGCGTCCCAGTCGTGCTTGACGTCGGCTCCATCGGTCATCATTACGTCGGCGGTCTTTCCTGAGGCGGAGCTGGCGGTCCTTTTTGAGGACGCAGAGTCGGAGGAAGAATCTCGGAATGAGTCGATGAGGGAGTCGGGCGAGCCAGCGGCGACGGTACCGGTGGCTAGCAGGGTCGCTTGTGGTTCGAGCGACTTTGCTTCGTGAAGCGACTGAGGGAAATCGGATAGTTTGAGGGTATCGTGAGCGTTTAGGTCGAAATTTGTCGGCAGAGGA